AGAAATAGAAAATTTGGGACCAATCATTGGACTAACTCTCGATATTAACGCGTTAAGTGTCATATTAGTCCCCAGGGACCGACGCTGGACTTTCCGTTCGGGCCCAAACTAGGACCAAAAGGTGGTAACTGTTAGTATTAACCGTTTGAGTCCCAGAGGGTTTTGAAAAAAGACAAGAGGATCGATTGTAAGGAATACTTATAACAGAGTCGAGTGCAAGAAACGAGCGAAAGTTTGCGAATACGTCTTGAGTGTTTGAAGTACCTGGCTCTCCGAGGTCGTATGAGAAATGTGTGATCGAAGAAGCAAGCTTTAGTATGAGAGAAGTTAAAATAAGGGTACGAGGATGCGAGCAGCTCAGTTTTGACAGTCAGTTTAACGTCAGTCAGTCTAAGAGCTGTCAATTGCGAGTCAGTCTTTTATCAGTCTTATAAGTCGTTTGAAAAAAAGTTGTCAGAGTAAAATTGTGAGAGTAAAAGGTAGAGTGAGGTCAGTACAAGCATTGCATAGTCACTATTCTATTATACTAATATTCTAGTCGGGTATTCTAATAATAAAGCTTATTTTGTTCTGTCAAGCATTGCAGTATTATTCCAATCGATCCCTCCAAGTGCCATACATCACTGTTTAACCATCCGCATTCTTAGCTCAACCTTACTTAAACAATACATCGTAGGAAAGTCACTAGCAACGTGAGGCAGTCACCAACGAGCAGGCTTTTGCACTTGTGACCTTTGTTCTCTCGAAAACTCTCGATTGCTTCGAGACACAATCGAGAGGAACGAAGAGCAGCGCAAAAGAGAGGCCTCCACGCGTGAGGAGGCATCAGGAGTGACTCCATGAGAGATCACCCAGCGTATAAACCTTTCTAGAGAGAAGCCTAAGAAAGGTTCTTCGACCCCTATTCCTTCGTGACACCATTTTGGCACCCCTTACGACATACGGATACTACGATATTAACTTGTCTCGACAGGGATCGAATCTGACATCTGTGTCATCTATGAAGCACTACCAGTGGAACCCGTGACCCTACTTTCCAATCATTAACCCTTTCGCTTCTAGCGCCATGAGATAACTCCTGGTTACGGAAACTCCATATTCTATACTCCAAATGATGCGTATACAAGTGCAATCTGTATAGGATTATTTTATTCAGCACAATTGTTGTTTAAGACTTAGGAAAACGTACTGAGATATACAGAAATCACACGCACTGTGCATATTTCTGGCGCGCGCTTCCGTTTAACGATGGTACTTCGTCGAGCTGAACTGTCGAAGGGAAAGGGTTAAATCTCTTTCTCTCCCTCCAAATCCCCAAAGTGTCAAAAGACTCGAAGACTCGATGACAGTGACTAGGAATTGTTGCGACGGCAATAATACATGGAAGACGCGCCTAACCGTCTCGAGGATTAACAAATTATATATCAAAGACAAGGACTATGGACAGCAGTACTTGGGACCAGACCCAACAGACGGGATGCACATGCGACTGATCCGCCAAAACGCTAAACAGATATACCTATAAATGTTGAAACTAAACAATACCAAAGGGAAACTTCCCTGACAGTTTCCCTCTCCTAATCCAAAGTCCTGATAAAACTCCTTGTCCAATCAAAAACTCTATTTCTTTCTCCACCTACAATCACTCTCCACCAATCACCGCAAACCTAGACTAGACAAGACAGACGATAGAAATTAAAGTCGAATCATCAGACGGTAGTGAGAAGTTAGACATAACGCATCAAGAAGGTAGTTGGGAGACAAAACGGGAACTCAGGCACGAAAACGAGAAGACGGAAAACGTAAAACGGCAGAAGGCAGAGACGATAGGACACATACAGAAATCACTCATGCAACTCATCGAATCGTGTAATAAAGTGTACATACAAGACAAACTGCTCCTTATTGCCCTACCTTAAGTGTTCCGCGGTGCATATGGAGTATCCCGCCTTGGCATCGCTAAATAAGCCGTGAGGTCGGGATTTCCAAGGTTTATAACACGATCGGAAAGACAGACTGTTTTAGAGTTGGGCTCTCGGTATATTGGGGGGCAATGAAACTAATATTCTCCAAATCTTCATCTCGCCTACGCTCGATAGCCAAAGGACGTGTTATAAACCTCGGTAATTCTGAAGGGTCATCCGAAGTCCTGCTAAGGGTAACAAACTACCGACGCACCGGACCTGGACGAACACCGTAACCCTTGGGAAAAACCCATGACCTCACGCCCGCTCAAGTGTCATCCCACCCTTGCAGGAGAAGGCGCGCCAAGGGCGCATGGAAGGGGTGAGCACGACACTTAGGATGCCGCTGATTGGGAAATCAACATTTTTCTAAACAACCAATCAGCGTGCATCCTCGACGTGCCAAGGCGAGGAACTGACTAACGCAAAAGGGTCAGTCAGTCAAACCACAACGTTCAAACAGTCAAATTCAAACTTCCAAACAGACACAGTCCAGTCTTCAAAGAATCTAGTTCGAACTCGTAAAATATCACATAGAAACCGTCAGTTAGAATAGCGACTCCGAGGAAGGAGTGAGGTGGAAACAGATTAACATTCGGCTACCGAACAACACTAACAGCTCTAGACCGTAAAACGTCTAGAGCACCCCGCGCGTTCATATTAGGAGGAAATAACTTGGACACAATCGCGACGCGTGGGAACATTAAGTATCTCGTAAGGATTCGGCATACTGAGAAGAAGGCATCGACAATTAACCAAGGTGCCTTCGCCACTCTACACGAACCGACCTCGTTAAAATTCTGTTTCTATTAATGCGACAGCATTCGTGTCTTCTCTACCGATCCACAGTGACACCTGTAATCACGAATGACAATATGAATTTCAATCGCTGGGAACTCGGTGGAAGGTCGTGGCAGGCGCGACTGGCCGTGGTCATTTGTATCGCGCGTTTGATTCGTGGCACGTCGACGAGCCGTTCAACCGAGACGTTTGCATATTCAGTTCAATTAAACGGCACTCGCTTAATCGGCAAACAGCGTGGAGACGCGCCGGCCGGAAGCGGAAGACTGCTTCCGCGCGAGGCTGAGGCCTCCGAGGGAGACGGATAGACGGCCATAGAGGGGTTGGGCTCTCTCCGTCGAGAACTTCGAATGCTAATGCAATCACCGGAGTTTCGTCCAACTTTTTCCGTCGAATCGTGCCGGCATCGTGAAATTGGATACTCGCGACGAAAGACTCCGAAACGGCCGAGAGAAGAAACGAAACAAGTTCGGGAATGGGGGAGAAAAAGGAGGAAAGACGGAAGAAGAACCGGGCAGAAAGTTCGAAACGTCGCGGAAACCGTGATGAATCGCGATAACCGAGTCGGAGTCGAATCGAGTCGCGATTATATCTGACGCGACTTCTCTCTGGCTGGACCGGGTGTTCTTGGATGGCAGAGCGAGGAAGGAAGGGTTGGGAGCGTTCCTTCTAGGTGAATCGCAGACTGCTGAGAAGACGAGGGTGGAGCGTTGATCGGTAATCGATTAGCGGATGGGCCTAATCGCGTGCACGCTTAAGGAGGCAATACGTAATTTTCGAAAAAGCGATTTTTCTTTTTATTGTTTTAAAAAATTCTCTGTCCCATGCTACGTTGAGTGAGGAGATCCTAATGTCGAAATTCCAAAAACTCGTATCGCTATTGGACTCCCATAAATATAAGTTCCTGTGGTATCGAAGTATCCCCCGTCTAAGGTAGGGCCTGATAGGGAACCTTACTGACGAGTCCACTTGCAGGCCCAGGACGAAACGCATCCCTTCCTTGCAGTCTTCTACCTGCTACCTATCATAGCAAGATGGCCATCAAGTTTGCATAGGAAACAGCACCATAGGAACCACAATCCTCATAACCCACACGATCTCAATTTTCTCGGATCACGACCTTTGACCATGGTAAACAGCATAACAGAGAAACCAGAATTCCAATCAGTGTGACATTTTTTGAGCACATGTCCAAGACAAGTTGCTCTGACATTTACCACTGATTGGCAATGTAAAAATTCGGAAAATTTAAACAGAAATTGTTTCTTAAGAGCAATTTGTCTTATTATATCATCTTCAACTTTGCGATTTTTTTTTGAATTTGTTTACAACTCTAAATTTGTTAACTATGTTTGGCGTGATAGTCACATCGTTTGTCTTTACTCGCCATACTTTTTCATCCTTCGCAGATTTTTTCTCCGCACTATATCCTGTCCACCAAGATCCACTGTATTTTACAGATGACAGATTAATTCCAAATTTTTTTTCGAACACTTCTGTCATTATATTTTTTACCTCAATTTTTTTATTAATAGTTTAAGGTTGAAAGTATAATCTGTGAAAAATTCACGTGACTACCTTTCTCCAATCATTTTCTATGAATTTTTGAAGAATAATTATGACAGAGGTTATATCACACTGGTCTGCCTCCTTAAAAATGCCCACCACGCAGGAATTTTTGTAAATGATCAGATGGTCGGATCATAAATTCCCAAATCGAAAAAAAAATTTTGGTTTCGTGATACTGTATTCTATACGCTATATACAACGTGTACCGATCAACGAAACGATCAAGGAAAGAGAAATTATCGAAAAATTAAGGAAACACGTGTCCTGGCCCATACGAAGCTTCCAAATCAATCCGCGAAAATGTTATATTTTTTCTCTCTGTATTCTTGCCACGCGTGATTAATTGATAGCCATCTATCTTCATTTGGTCCTCGTTAGTGTCGCTTTTTTTTCGGCGGAAAAAGTGAGCCGCTCTGCCGGGAGGCAGCGGATGTCGAGGGGGTGGGAATTGTAGAGAGGGGGTGAAAATAGGAGGAAAAAGGAAACGGGCCGGGAAAACGAGAGTCGATCGAGTAGCCGCGACGATTAATCGACCAAACGAATCGCCGCTGCTGCTTCGATTACAAGCTTCCCTCCGCCGACCCCTTTCTCTCTCACCCTCCGACCCCTCTTTCAACCCTTCCATTCGCCCCTGTTCATCGTTTCGTTCAACGTTTATGATTGCAGCACGCGGACCAGGGACGAGAAACGGAAGCATGCCTACGCTGTTCGCCGTGGTGCTCCTGATCTCGGTCACGAGCACGTGGTACCAAAATGGCTGCGTGGCCGAGCTGTACACCGCGCTGGCTGACATGGAGGAGCTGCTGGAGACCGAGGCGGTGCTCATCGACACCCTGAACGGCTACATCAAGGCGCAGGAAGAACGTCTGGCCACTCTGAGAAAGTGAGTTTTACGACTGCGATTAGCTCCACGGCCTTCGTGTCGTTTAACGAGCTCGTTCCAGGCACCGGTTATGTCTCACGGAACCTGTACTTTAGCATGCCGTTACGACGAGTATATACGTCAGTGGTTTAACTTGCACGTCGGTTATGCGGTTCGGTGCTGGCGACTTCCGGCTTGCGTTTGGATTTTAGTTTTTATCGCGTACTAAATTTTTCATAGTTTCCCATGACATGCTCTGTTATGCTCTGCGAAAGTTTCGCGAGATAAGGTAAGTGATATTACCTGCGGATTCGAGATTTCTTGTTTAAAAATTGGAGCCCTCGACTTGGCATCGGCCGATTCGCGATTTCTTTGTTAAAAATAGGATCCTTTATTGGCAATGGCCGATTCGCAATTTCTTTATTAAAAATAGGGTAATATTGGCAATGGCCGATTCGCGATTTCTTGTTTAAAAATTGGAGCCCTCGACTTGGCATCGGCCGGTTCGCGATTTCTTTACTAAAAATAGGGTCCTTTATTGGCAATGGCCGATTCGCGATTTCTTGTTTAAAAATTGGAGCCCTCGACTTGGCATCGGCCGGTTCGCGATTTCTTTACTAAAAATAGGGTCCTTTATTGGCAATGGCCGATTCGCGATTTCTTGTTTAAAAATTGGAGCCCTCGACTTGGCATCGGCCGGTTCGCGATTTCTTTACTAAAAATAGGGTCCTTTATTGGCAATGGCCGATTCGCGATTTCTTGTTTAAAAATTGGAGCCCTCGACTTGGCATCGGCCGGTTCGCGATTTCTTTACTAAAAATAGGGTCCTTTATTGGCAATGGCCGATTCGCGATTTCTTGTTTAAAAATTGGAGCCCTCGACTTGGCATCGGCCGGTTCGCGATTTCTTTACTAAAAATAGGGTCCTTTATTGGCAATGGCCGATTCGCGATTTCTTGTTTAAAAATTGGAGCCCTCGACTTGGCATCGGCCGGTTCGCGATTTCTTTACTAAAAATAGGGTCCTTTATTGGCAATGGCCGATTCGCGATTTCTTGTTTAAAAATTGGAGCCCTCGACTTGGCATCGGCCGGTTCGCGATTTCTTTACTAAAAATAGGGTCCTTTATTGGCAATGGCCGATTCGCGATTTCTTGTTTAAAAATTGGAGCCCTCGACTTGGCATCGGCCGGTTCGCGATTTCTTTACTAAAAATAGGGTCCTTTATTGGCAATGGCCGATTCGCGATTTCTTGTTTAAAAATTGGAGCCCTCGACTTGGCATCGGCCGGTTCGCGATTTCTTTACTAAAAATAGGGTCCTTTATTGGCAATGGCCGATTCGCGATTTCTTGTTTAAAAATTGGAGCCCTCGACTTGGCATCGGCCGGTTCGCGATTTCTTTACTAAAAATAGGGTCCTTTATTGGCAATGGCCGATTCGCGATTTCTTGTTTAAAAATTGGAGCCCTCGACTTGGCATCGGCCGGTTCGCGATTTCTTTACTAAAAATAGGGTCCTTTATTGGCAATGGCCGATTCGCGATTTCTTGTTTAAAAATTGGAGCCCTCGACTTGGCATCGGCCGGTTCGCGATTTCTTTACTAAAAATAGGGTCCTTTATTGGCAATGGCCGATTCGCGATTTCTTGTTTAAAAATTGGAGCCCTCGACTTGGCATCGGCCGGTTCGCGATTTCTTTACTAAAAATAGGGTCCTTTATTGGCAATGGCCGATTCGCGATTTCTTGTTTAAAAATTGGAGCCCTCGACTTGGCATCGGCCGGTTCGCGATTTCTTTACTAAAAATAGGGTCCTTTATTGGCAATGGCCGATTCGCGATTTCTTGTTTAAAAATTGGAGCCCTCGACTTGGCATCGGCCGGTTCGCGATTTCTTTACTAAAAATAGGGTCCTTTATTGGCAATGGCCGATTCGCGATTTCTTGTTTAAAAATTGGAGCCCTCGACTTGGCATCGGCCGGTTCGCGATTTCTTTACTAAAAATAGGGTCCTTTATTGGCAATGGCCGATTCGCGATTTCTTGTTTAAAAATTGGAGCCCTCGACTTGGCATCGGCCGGTTCGCGATTTCTTTACTAAAAATAGGGTCCTTTATTGGCAATGGCCGATTCGCGATTTCTTGTTTAAAAATTGGAGCCCTCGACTTGGCATCGGCCGGTTCGCGATTTCTTTACTAAAAATAGGGTCCTTTATTGGCAATGGCCGATTCGCGATTTCTTGTTTAAAAATTGGAGCCCTCGACTTGGCATCGGCCGGTTCGCGATTTCTTTACTAAAAATAGGGTCCTTTATTGGCAATGGCCGATTCGCGATTTCTTGTTTAAAAATTGGAGCCCTCGACTTGGCATCGGCCGGTTCGCGATTTCTTTACTAAAAATAGGGTCCTTTATTGGCAATGGCCGATTCGCGATTTCTTGTTTAAAAATTGGAGCCCTCGACTTGGCATCGGCCGGTTCGCGATTTCTTTACTAAAAATAGGGTCCTTTATTGGCAATGGCCGATTCGCGATTTCTTGTTTAAAAACAGAAGCCTTCGTTTCGGCATCGGCCGATTAGCGATTTCTCTTTTAAAAATAGAAGCCTTCATCGGTATCGGCCTATTCGTCATTTCTTTATTAAAAATAGGGTAATATTGGCAATGGCCGGTTTGCAATTTCTTTATTAAAAATAGGGTAATATTGGTAATGGCCGATTCGCGATTTCTTGTTTAAAAACAGAAGCCTTTGTTTCGGCATCGGCCGATTAGCGATTTTTCTTTTAAAAATAGAAGCCTTCATCGGCATCGACCGATTCGCGATTTCTTTATTAAAAATAGGGTAATATTGGTAATGGCCGATTCGCGATTTCTTGTTTAAAAACAGAAGCCTTTGTTTCGGCATCGGCCGATTAGCGATTTTTCTTTTAAAAATAGAAGCCTTCATCGGCATCGGCCGATTCGTGATTTCTTTATTAAAAATAGAAGCCTTCATTGGCATCGACCGATTCGCGATTTCTTTATTAAAAATAGGGTCCTTTATTGGCAATGGCCGATTCGCAATTTCTTTATTAAAAATAGGGTAATATTGCCAATGGCCGATTCGCGATTTCTTGTTTAAAAACAGAAGCCTTTGTTTCGGTATCGGCCGATTAGCGATTTTTCTTTTAAAAATAGAAGCCTTCATCGGCATCGGCCGATTCGTGATTTCTTTATTAAAAATAGAAGCCTTCATTGGCATCGACCGATTCGCGATTTCTTTATTAAAAATAGGGTCCTTTATTGGCAATGGCCGATTCGCAATTTCTTTATTAAAAATAGGGTAATATTGGCAATGGCCGATTTGCGATTTCTTGTTTAAAAATAGAATCCTTCGTCTCAACGTCGGCCGATTCGCGATTTTGTTTCCAGAAATGAGATCCTTCGTCGGCATCGGCAGATTCACGTTTTCTTTTTTAAAAATAAGAGCCTTCGTCTCGGTATCGGCCAATTCGCGATTTCTTTTTTAAAATTAGGATCCTGCATCGACATTTGCCGATTTTACCATTTCTTTTCTAAACATAGGATCCTTCATTGACATCGGCCAATTCGCAATTTCTTTCCTAGAAATAGGACTCTTCATTGCCATCAACTAATTCGCGATTTTTTTTTTTAAATAGTATTTTTATCGTCGTCCAACTAATTTCCGATTTGTTTCGCAAAAATGATTTCCTACGATAACAACAAAGCAAGAAATTCTCCATCAATGAAACACGCATCGCGAGTCTCAAAGCAAGCTTGAAACCCGCAAAGAGAGAACTGCGTGCGGGATAACTAGGTCGGTGTAATGGGAAGATTTAATAGCAGGTTATTAAGCAAGCACCGAGAGGAAGCTTAAATAGCGAAATGCGTGTCGGTAAATTTTCGTTGGATCCATAGCGAGCAATTATAGAGCGGAAAGCTCGGAACGGGATTGGACCGCCGGATTATCGGTTATTCCCCTCTATAGGAACGATACTCTTAGAAATAGCCCGATATAATTTTACGCCCCGTAATCGGCCATCGTGGAAACCCTCCACGAGGCTTCTCTGCTTTATACGTCTCGTTCGGAGCCTCGTAAATCTTGTCTCTCAAAACTACCCTCGAATTTTCCTACTTCTACCTTCTTCCTCGTTATTCGCCCTATTATCTATTTAGCCACGGGAACCGCCTTGGGAGACCTCGATCACTCGGTTCAACCCCTTGCACCGAAACGACACGGGGTTGGTCTGTCATTAGCTTTTCGCGAAAAATGGCGGTATAATTTTTGCAACTATGGTGGCATCATTCTCACCCTCGTCATTAGATCTATTTCAAGTTAAAGGAAATTTGAAAATTTTCTTAAAAGTCCTCGGTAAACCCTTCGATTTCTATATATTGTGGTATCGCAGGATGAGTGGGTTATCTAGAGTGCGTGCGAAAGGATGAATGATCGTGCGCTAGGATCGTGCGAACGGGATGTTTATGAATGTATCGAGTTGCTTTAGGAATGCGTTCGAGTGTTTGGTGAGTGACCCGCTGAGGGTAAGATTGCGAGGAGTGCGTGGGAAAGTGTGATTGGAAAGAGAGAATAGGTATGAAAGAGGATAGAATGGATGGTTTTAAATAGAGATGCAAGGGCGTGAGTCAGTCAGTCAGTCAGAGACAGTCAGTGACAGAGTGGGAGGGTGTGGAGTCGGTCGCGGTACGTGTAGTATAGGAGAGTTCAGAGAGAGAGTTGTGAAGAAACAGTCAGTCAGTCAGAGACAGTCAGTGACAGAGAGAGAGGGTGTGGAGTCGGTTGCGGTACGTGTAGTATAGGAGAGTTCAGAGAGAGAGTTGTGAAGAAAGGTGTATTAGTGTTGCGAATATAAACGTGTTGTTAGGATTAATAAATAGTAGTTTTAGTATTATTCGTAGTAGTATTCGTGGTGTTGTCCCACCCTATCTCTACAATATATATATAGAGGTTGTCTCAAAATTCACGCAAGATTCGAATTTAGCGCCATTTATACGGTAAAGTATTGCCAACTAAAGGAA